TATATGTTTAATTTTTAAAAAGCTATTCCTAAAGGCACATAGCTCAAAATCAAATGTAATCAGGGGTTCTAAAAATATGATGTATGCTTAAATCCATTTTTTGCAAAAATATATGTGTGTAGAAAAAAATATACCTCAGCAATTATAACAGTGGTTTTCTATTAAGGGTAGGATTTAAATTATTTATTATTTCTGCTTTATAATATTCAATAGCTTTTAACTCTCTTTAACTAGTACATTTCTTTATCTTTAGGAATAAATGCAAGAGATGTATTTGTATTTCTGAAAAATAAGCAATTTATTTCCAAGCAAGAAAAATAAATATCCATTTTGTTCTCCCATAACATACCTTTTAGGGTGTTTAGCACACTAAATCAGCTATTTGAGTACTTAGTCTTTCCAGATAAAATACGAGCTCCAACAGGAGCCGTCAATTTCATCCACAGTGCATCCATGTGCCATGATTTCATGGCACATTACAGACACTCTCTAGATTTGCACTACATACCTGGCTTCTTACTTTCATCCCCACAGGGTCTTCTTTCTCCCATACCTGGCTCTGGATGAATTACCCTGGCCTCTGCCAGGTGCCATACAGTCTTTAAGCTACTGTGGGATAAAAGCTGAAATGTGTGCAGGCACCACAATGAAAAACAATCTTGGATCTAAAGGATGTCTTTTGGCAAAATCAGTTAAGCTGCTACTCAGATCTCTCTCTCTAAATACTGGTCAACATATGTACAGTGGCATTAAAATGACAGAAGCTGAAGGTGCCACAGGGGACATGGGAGTAGAAAGTACTTGATTTAGTAGTGGAGGGTCTCTGTGAGATGGGCAACTGAAGAACCATTTCAGCTAAATTATCGCAAAGTGCTTACATCTTTCTGTTGTGCTTCTTTTACATCATAAGGAAAGCCTGACAATTTACAGCTTGTAATACAACAAGTAGAACTGAGATTTCTCTTTTGTAGTTTACATTGCTCAGTTTATATCATTTTGGAAATGTAACCAAGTTTCTGATAGCAGCAACATCCTTACCTCCCCTAGGAAATCAGGGCATTCATCCCCTGCCCCCATGCCCCATCCTCATTTCTATTCTAATGTTTGGTTGCATTCCCAGGTCCAGATACTCACTTCCTCCGTGGAGAGGCTCTGGCACATTTTTACTGGAGGAAGTGAATGGAAACATTCTGGTTGGAAATGGGAACTTGGGCACCTGCCTTGAAAGCACACACAGCAAGACGTGTTTTCACATGGACAGTGTTTGTTTCGCACACATAGTTCAGTGGTTAGGGGTGTCAACTGCCTGCCTGCATTCATTTCCTAACTGCCATTTAGTGGCTGTGTCATATTGGGCACATTACTTAACTGTCTGTGCCTAATCTTTCCATTTTTGGAAGTGCAAAAAACAATACTACATTCCTAGTAAGGTGTCATTGTGAGAAGCATGTGGGTTAATAGCTGCAAATTGTCTTAAAAAGTGCCTGGTACATGTAAATGTCATGCCATGTAAATGTTTACACTTAATAATATTTACTTAGCTTGCATGTTGTAAAAATGGTACATTTAAAAACATCATATATATTATGATATATGCATATATTAAATATATTTATGAATCTTAAAAGAATATAAAAAATGGGGGGATTGTGGATGATTTCAGGGAAGGAAGCATGGAGAGTCCTCCCAAGTACCCCTTGGTATCATGCCATTTCCCTCTGTAGGCCATAGATTTTTTAAACTCTCTGTGCCTCCTCATTTCTCCTGTGAATTATCTGCTACCAGCAAGAGTTCTTCCCTTCAGATCATAGCCTGGAACCTGTCACCTGTTCATGGATGTCTGCAATTGACTCCGTACATCCCTTTGTCTCAATCTCAACCAGTATCAACTAAATCATTGTCTCCCTCTGGTAATTATTTGTGAAACAGGACGATACATGAAACATCTGTTAAATGTCACCATGTGACTCTTATAATCAATTCTCACTGCTCTCCTTACCTGATTTATACTGCACAGTTTCCTAGAAACTCGAACGTGTCCTAGACCATATTTCTTTTTGAGATTCTGCACGAAAGGGCCATATGATTGTATATTTTTTCAAATGTCATACATGTAACTATTAAAGCAAGGAAGTTTTTATTTTTTAATGTAAAAAGACAACTTTCTTAGAGGTATTTAATAGCTGGAAGTTAGTAATGTAAGTGTGTTAACCTATATTTTCTAAATTCTTAGGTTGTATGTAGAGATCACAATTAGGCACCCCCATCCCATTAAGCCTCAGAGTTAATTTTAAAATCAACACATGGGTATGATCAGATATGTACAATGTCATGGTATGCAGACTGAACTGTTCACAGACTGAAGGAGTTTTTGACCGTAAATTCAATGCTAACATTAAGGAGAGCAGCAAAGAGAGGGGAGTCTAGCAGAAATGTCACTTAGAAGAATCATAGAAACAAACACTGACAGTGTTACTCTAACTCCCAGCCATGAAGAAGCTGCCCGGAGAGGCAGAGGGGAGTGTCTGGCAGATACATCCTTACTGACAGACATATCTTGCCAGGTGTATCTGAATCGAATCCTCTGAACATTGGAAGCATGTAACTCTCCTTGCTATGATTATGTGCTCATCTGAGATCATCAGCCAAACTTCTGACTTACAGCCCCATGCAGTTTTCTACAACAGTTGGAGTGTGCACTGCTGAGGCCAGATAAAGCATCCCATGATCTTATTTTATATCTTATTTTAAATTAAGTTATGTATCTTATTTTAAATTAATAATCTGTCAACCTAGTTTATTTTCCAGTCAGTCAGTGTTTTCATGTCTGCATTTCTGGATTTAAAAACAGAGAGCCAGACACTGGCCTATAATTTCACTAAATTAATGTAGCTCTGTAAGCAATTCCCACAGAGAACTGATGAATTATTATGTGTCTCTGTTCAAATATTTATAGGACAATGTTTTCCAAAATATAGATTAGAAATGTTAGGCTATATAGAAGAATTACAAAAGTCACTGAGAAAAAAGAAGGTTAATGATTTCTAAACGGTGTATAGTGAAATCAATCAGTAATTTGTCTTGCATATAGTGTTCTCCTTTCCTGCTGCACATGGGGGCTCAGATGCTAAGTGGTAGGATGGAGATACCAAACTCCTATCATTGTACAAAGGGCAGACACTGATAAAACAAACGAAGAGCTCCCTGTATGGAAATCTAACATGGAACATTACTTGTAGCCAGAGTGGAGGGTGTTGCCAGATGAAAATACCCAAGAATTTGTTTCTGTAAAATCTGAACCATTGACATGGAAAGAATTCTAACTTCAGCTATATGAATTCTATAAGATACCCCAGAATTTAACATTTTCTTTTTGAATGAAGACATTAATTTACCATTAAATCAATTACCTACTTTGCATTTTTTCACTTATTTACCCAGCATGAATTTATAGAACATCGACTAAATTCTAAGAGCTGTGCTGGACAATTGGGCTGGAACCACAGCACACAGTCTCAATCCTTGTGGGGTTCACTGTGTTCTGGATGGCCTTTAATCAAATCATGACAACACATGCAGGCAGCTGTTAACTGACATATACACCAAGGACAGGCTCCAGGGTTGCTCACCTGATTCAGTGTGCCAGGCCACACCACACCCTGTCTTGAAAAATGACAATCATATTTGCTCTTATCTCTTTCTCTCCCTCTCATCCTCTCTGCCTCCCAACATCCTCATTCTCCTTCCCTGTCCCATCCCCTTCCTTCTTCCCTTCCTTTTCTTTCTTTGGCATGAAACCTTCTTTCTGAATATTCACCTCCAGCGCATGTTTGCTGGGAGTATCATTCCTTTAAATAAATGTGTCCTTTACATCTCCCAGAGGTTCAAAGGGGTTCACAAGTTCTACAGAAACTGTTTACTTTTGTTTTATCATAGTGATGTTTTTATTTTAATAATAATATGAAAGAAAACATTTTGCAGTAATAACTCACAGTTTAAATGCTTTTCATTTATTTTTACAGAATATATTTTAGTTTCTTTAGGTTATTCATTTTTCAAACTGGGATCTATAGTGCCCAGTAGGGATCCAAGGACATATTTTAGGGAATCCATTAAAAATAAGGTCCTATAGAAACACTATGCTATATCTAAACAAATAGTTCTATCCTTTGTCCTAATGAATTGGTTATTTAACTAAAAATAAATACATGGAGCAAAGCTGTAGAAACTGGTTTTTAATCTGATGCTATCTCTGTTGCCAGTACAAATGGAAGACAAGGATGAGATGGGCTCTTAAGAAAATGAAAAATATTACCAGTTTTCTTATATTCACATACTGAATACTTTGAATCCAGACAGTTCACTTATTCATCCCTGCCTGCTAGCACTGCTCTTCATTACTATACAAAAGTTAATTATTAGCCAGAAAAACATCTTTATAACTTTTTTTAAATCACAAAGAGCTTTTAAACATGAACTAGAGTCAAAGATATTCAAAACGCCAACAATTTAGAGATGTAAGTCCATAAAGGAATGTTCTCTTCCATATTTGAGTTCTACTCTGTTTAATTTGGGTAGATCTGTTGGAATAGGAAGCCTGAAGAAAAGTACTAGTGAGAAAATACCCCACCCTTATGGTTCCCTTTACAGCTTGTTAGTCCTGTATAGGGAACATAAAGGCAACTAGAAACATTGAAAGAATGTTTTATTCCTACTCCTCTGTCCCTCAGGGTATCCTGGAAAGAAAGTCACTGGATGTCACTGGATTCAGTGGGAGACTTGAACCCTTCCCACAGTCCCTAGATACCACAGGGCTAAGTGTCCAACTTTTAATTCTGGGTAGATTTCCTCACCCTAACAGAGAACAACAACAATAATCTCTGGAAACCAGATTTCTAAAGTTCATTCTCTGCCCCAGTTCTGACAGTACAACTTTCTCCCAAAATACAGTTGTATGATATACATGTATTTGCATTTAGGTTAGAAAGAAATTCACTTACCAGGATAAATTAGACACAGACATTGCAGCAATTTATGAAGCAGTCTCCTCTTGATTTCAGAATGAGTAGGTCAAGCAGAGATCACAGGGAATTTTAGCTTTGCTGCGAGAATGATGCACAAACCACGTAGTTATTCACAGTTTGAGAGGACCTATAAGAAAAGGAATAAAGTAATATCTATAGTACCCAGTCTATATGACTTCTACAGATTTATTTCACCCAGGTCAATAGTTTTGTCATGGTATCAGAAACACAAAAAAAGCATGATGTTTTTCTTAAAATATATGACATAAACCAAAGACAAAATTAAACTAACCCAATAATGAGCTAAATGCTTTGTCTTTATAAACAGTTGAAAGGTTAATACAATGCTCATTCCCTTAATTAGAAAATACAGGAAAAGAACAATGTATTTTCAGAGGCACCAACTTTTTTCTCCATATGGTGAACTGGTTATTCTCTCTAAATCAGTTTTACATACTTCTGATAAAAGGATCATAACGAAGACGTTGATTAGCCCACAGCTCATGTTAGGAAAAAAAGAAGTTCCTTAGCACAAATAATTGTCATGTCCAAAGCTGTAACAAAAAATTATTCACTACCACATCAGGGTGAATAAGAATTTATATTGAGTAACACATGGGAGGTTAAGTCAGTGTGTATGTACATAACAAACATTTCCACACACTTTTTTTGAGCATGTACTATATACAGTATCCTTTGATCTTGAACCAAAATTTTCTTAGGGTACAGCTAATTCCATGGTACTATGTTAGTTTAATTCAGGTCATTAACCCAGCACTGTCCAATTAAACAAACATTTATTGAGGACATACAAATATATGCACTTAAATGCTTTCTGAGTTATATAGTTCAGGGATAAAGGTGAATGACACATGAATAAGACATTGTTCTAACCCTCAAAGGATGTTTTATGGAAGAAGGAGAACTGTACTAAAGTGCTAGTAAAGGTTTACACGGAGTATATGGGAGCACAGAAGAGGGGGTTCCAGGCCAGCAGCAGGGATTTGGGAAGGATATCTAACAAAGCTATGTCCCAAACTACTACTATTAGGTTTGGCTGCAAGTTTCAAAAAAATCCAAAATCAAAGTGGTTTAGAAAAGACAGAGTTAATTTTTCTCTCATATAAGCAATCTTGAGTCTTAAGAAGCCCAAGGCAGATATGGAAATTTGATGGTCACCAGGGATGAAGGCTTGTTTCTTGCCATTCTCAACAAGTGGTTCCCCTTCACATTCGAAGTGGCTGCTGAGCTCCAGTGAGTGTGTCTATGTTCCAATCAGCAGAAAGAAGGAAGAAGGAAAGAAGGATGTTTCCTAAAATGCACACACGACATTTCTTAATTTTATTGGCCAGAGCTTCATTACTTGCCTGCTCTTGTTCTAAGGGAGACTGGAAAATTCAGCCTTTATTCTGAGCAGACATAGGCCCAACTACAAACCAGTGTACCTATTAGAAAGAAAGGAGGTGAACCTGGGTTTTGTGAGAAAACCAGCATTGTATCCCATTTTGAGACTCAGTGACTTTTTCCTCCTCTGTACCTACCGCAGAACGGCAAACATGGGGCCAAGGGCAGGTGGAATCATTCCACTGTTTGTTGGTAATTGACCTGTGTGACACATAATTTTAAAATATCCAGCTTCTTCAATTTTCTCAAATCATTCATAGGGTCAGCAAAACACTTTTGTGCCTATTTACCACTAATTACTAAGGGCACAAAGATTAATGAAATACAATATTTGCACATAAAGAATCACTAACATGAATGACATCATATAAAAAAATAAAACAAAATGAAATGCACTCTGAAAATTGCTGTGTATGCACAAAGGCATATTAGCAGCTATAAGGGAATAGAGAAAGAACCATAGTTCTAATGGATTCTAATTTTAATAGACATTATCTGCCAGAGGAATAAGCAGCTATAAGGACCAAATACCAAACAGTCTCCTTACATGCCAAAGGAGGCTTTTGAACCCATCCTCCCCTTGGTTAATTATTAAAGCATATGGACTTACATCTATCAAGAACATGGCAACTACAGATTCTGCTCCCAAAACAGATCATTTTAAACTCTCAAAATCTATATCCTGGGTCTTATTAAGGGTTTGGTTACAAAAATAAAATGTATGTAACATTGTCTGATGCAATTTGTCTTGATAATATTAATTCTTAATTCTTTCTTTAGAGAGCTGTGTATCTGGATGACATTATTTTAATATTTAACCAAATTACTGTTACTGAATTATACTTCAGGGTTTTGCCAAGAGTTTACATTGAAGGACATCACTAAAGAAAGTAATAAGTAAGAAAAACAGGCCTGTGGAATCAGCTATTATTTTAGTAAAAAATTCACCAACACAAAGGTGTTGCCCTTATGAGCACTCAAAAGAAAAATGTGCCAGGTCTCAACACCAAGAAAACTATTTTCCTAAGGGGATACTGTTGCAACTTACTGTGCTTCTCTCCTTGCTGTAACGGATGGGAAGCTGTGAAACAAATTTGTGACAGATCTTTAAGAACTATTCAAGGCCTCGGGATCTGCTTTTTTATGATCACCTTTGTTTCCCTTTTTTGCCAACTTTTATTTTTAACCTGTTTTTGATAAACACACACATAGACAAACATACGCACATATATACATACTTTATTTTTATAAATACACATAAAACTTCCCCTAAGTCCTTTTAGAGTAAGTATGGGTAAATTAAAGACCGCAGTTCCAGATTTGTTTGCTTTTGCAGAATGTAGAAATAACATGTAAAGAAATTTGATCCCAGGATCTTAGATTGAGCCATAAGAAACTGTATTTTTACAGGTCAAAAATGGTCAAAAATTGTCTGTGTATATGGTACAACTTAATGTAAGTGAAGAGATGATCAAGATATCCTCTTATTGTTCTCCTCAGCTGAACTAAACTTTAGATGGGCTTCTTCCTGACTCTAGGGCCCTGGCTCCCCTTCTCTAGGAGCATTTACTTTAGAAAACTGTAATTGTAAATTTTTTCTCTGCCCCTTTGAGACATAAATATCCTATCAGTTCTCTTTCCAGTTTTACAACCCAGAATGCCTTTCTTAAGGATTGGGGGGCCATTTGAAATGTACCCATCAAAGGTGATATACCTACCTCCTAGTCTCTGTGGGAGGAGAGGAGTATAACTTCTATAAGAATCAATTAGCAAACACAGATGGCCCAGTCACACTGACCAACCTCACCTCACCCCAATCCTCTAATACTTCCCTACAGCTCACCTGAGCACTTTAAAACTGTCCTGCCTTTTGCTTCAGAAGAGTTGCAGTCAGTCTCTTTCCCTATTGCAAGTTTTGAATTGTTTTCCTTGTCTATTGAACTCTGTTCTGTTCAATTTTTCTTTTAGAGAGTATTGTTTTTAGTTCTTAAACTTCAGGAAAATATCTTAATATGCTGACAATATTGTTAAAAAGTTCAATCTTTTCTCAATGTTCTTTACCTGAAGTAACTACCAGCTTGGATTTTGATATGCTTATATTAAATGTGGAATTTGTAAAATAAAATTAATATGAGAACTACATTTTCTCTGATGTTAAGGCTAGATGTCTATAAGAACAAAACATTTAATACCCAAAATTTCACTATGACCATTCATAATGATTACTATAATCTTTCTTTCATTTTGGTATTATATATACAATCTTTTATTTTATTTGCTTCTTATAACTATCTGATTCATTTCTTTAAGGATATGTACCCATGAGGCACTCAATAAAGTTTTCTGAGTTGAATAACACAAAAAGGCCTGTTATGTTTATAATTTTATGATGTGATGTTTTTGAAAGATCTTGGTAGTGCGCTTGTTATTCCATTAAATGACATTTAAATGATTCATTGCTTATTAATGCAACCTTTCCAGAGAAAACATCATTAGCATCTTCATGAGAGTTTAAATTTTCTGTTCATTTTGATGATTCACACTCTTTATACAAATCCCAGCATCAGTCTCCACACTTAAGTATGAATTCATAGCTTTCAGCCAAAATTCTAACATTACTAAGAGCCACCATCTGCCTCTTTGTTACAAGAGAAAGAAAGTATATCTTGATGCTAGGGGAAATTTCAAAATACATGGAGTGATTTGATTTTGCCTGAATGCCCAGCCAGGATTATAAGTTATAAGCATAAGAACAACTGTTTGGGTGATTCCTTTAGCACAATGTTAAGGAAAACAGTAGGTGAATTTAGTGCAAAACCCCTCATTTGACATATTCAATTAAAAATGTAAATAGTCCAAAAAACATGTAAATACTCCTTGTATACAATCAATGGATTATTGGGATTACACTTTAACAAAATAATTCTTTCAATCATTTACTCGTGAATAAGATTCTAGTCTTCAAATTCAACTGAAAGGAATACTATATTCTAATATGTTCACTTAGTTGTAATTACTTGCAATTTAGTTATATAACATAAAAGAATTTCTGTAAAGTGACTCTTATTTAAACAAAGGGAGAATATTCATAACCTAATTCCATTGTGTCTTCAAACTGTTAAAATTCCATGAATATCAGTTTGAATAACCTGACATATAAATGTGTTTTTATATATTCCACACTTCAGACAGTAAATCTATAAAAAAATTACTTGGAAGAAACAAGAAATAACAAGTCTTTGTGAGGATGTGGAGAAAAGGGAACCCTCCTACACAGTTGGTGGGAATGTAAATTGGTATAGTCACTGTGGAAAATAGTATGGAGGTTCCTCAAAAAACTAAAAATAGGAACACCATAAGACCCCATTAATTCCACTTCTGGGAATTTATCCAAAGAAAATACAATCTCTGATTTGAAAAGATATGTGCACCCCTATGTTTATTGTTGCATTATTTACAGTAACCAAGCTATGGAAGCAACCAAAGTGTCTGTCAATAAATAAATGGATAAAGAAGATGTGGTACATATATACACTGGAATATTATTCAGCCACAGAAAAGGAAAAACCCTGTCATTTGCAACAACATGGACTAACCTAGAGGGCATTATGCTCAGTGAAATAAGCCAGGCAAAGAAAGAAAAATACCTTATGATTTCACTTACTTGTGAAACATATATAAACAAACTTTTGAAAATATAAAAACAAAACAAAACAAAAGTAA